GTTTGTACGGTGACTCCCACGAATGAGTCTTAATGACATAGTTGTACTGGGTTTTTTTGTTTTCATTTGCACCGGGAAGAACCTACCTTTTTAAAAGGAAAAACATTTTGTTTGAACTAATAAGATATTTGTCTGGGTGAGCTCATTTTTCCGTATTTTTATATTTTGGGGTTTTGATCATAGAACAGTTCTTGTCTTATGCAAAGAAGTTAATTGAGCAATAAAACTTTGTCAGCCATCTACAGTCAAGAAATATGTACCGGGTAAACAATCACATCGACTAGGACTTTCAATTGCCTTCAAACCTGTTCTGATGTAAGTAAAGTCTGTCACGAGCCAATAGGCTAGGCATGTGGCTCACCAGGCAAGGGTTATCTCCCGTTTCCTTGGCAAGAAACAATTGAGAATATTTCTATTCCCCCTGGATGGGATGCCAGTCCATCGCAGCTTACTCCCCAGCTAATGCCGGAAACCATACTCCTGGGTGGAGAGAGGCAAATGGGGGTGAAGTGGCTTGCCCAAGGACACAACATAACGAGCAGCAGCTGGATTCGAACCCTCATCCTTTGATCGTGAGTCACAATCCATATAACCACTAGGCCACACTCCCCCAATAACATGGAAGGTTATACACATGAATTCGTAAGTAACCCAAGTATCCAAGAAAAGGATGCGCCAGACGTCACTTTTTTGTTAACAAGATGGCCGGGTTAACAGGAGTTGGGAAACCAATCGCGTTTCTTTTGCTCGTAAATCAAAAAGGAGAATTCCGCACTTGCACACCTATTGATTTCATGTGCGTGTTGTGTTGCTTAGCTCTGGATGATGACAAAATATATCAAGCATAAATCCACAAAAGGATAAAATAAAATTGGCACAAAAAGTATCACACCGACCCTCAGGAGAAATCACGTTCCCACCTCCAAATGGAATTGTCACTCACCAAGACGCCGGCTTGCCTTTTGATTTTCCTTGCGCCGCGCCATTTTTTTCGCACCTCAAAACACCGCCGCCAACGGTAAATTAACAAAATAACGGCGCGGCGATCTCGAATTCCACGCAGAAAAAAATGTGGCATTACCCATCATGCACCACGTCCCAAATCCCACCGGGTCACATGATTTATGATCGATTTTTAGTTACCTCTGTTTTTCTGTCTTATACTTCGTTTCCAGTAGCCGCAGTGTAGACAGCTAGAGTGAGGTTTTTGGCACGCTGGCAGTCAGTAATGCGCCGTAAAAGATTATAGCCATGCCTACTTAGCTTGAGTAACCGGGGCCGATGTAGCCGCGCCGCGCCGCTGTACACGGCACGGCGCGGTCCCGTTACCGCAGCGATCGTGTGACATACACCTGGCCGGACCTAGCCCACGACCCTCCGGGGCCTGCCACGGGGGAACGTGTGAGGGCAACCTAAGACGACCCCTTCGCTTCTTCGGTCTTTTTGGTCTGACCAAAAAGAATCGAGGTGTCAATAAAATACTCTAATGCCAGATTAAAAAGGGGCCGAGTGTTCGTGCATGCATTATGGCCTGTTGATTACTTCTTTGTTGTTAAGCCGTTGGTAAAATGCACTTGTCTTGAGTGTCTAGAAGTGTCAGCATACGAATGCACGTTTAACATGCGCTAGAACAAAACACTTGCGTATACATAACACATACAAGTTTCAATGACACATTTTTAAGATTTAAAACGAGAAAGAGTGACATTTTATTCAGTAATGTTTTTATTTCTTTGTATACAATTTAGTCATTCATAAAATGTGCGTTATGACGGAATCTCCATGAGTCCAAATGAACTTGTTTTTTTTATTCAATTAATTAAACCAAATATTGTACTGACAAACAATATTTGGTCTCCAACCAGTCAACAAAATCTGATCGGAAAAGAAATCACATGAAACGTTTTTCTTGTATGCTGTCGACAACCTCTCACAAGCACTGCTCTTTTATTATCTTGATCAAGTTTTAAAACTTGGAAGAAGGCCGTTTTCTTTCCTCCATGTTTACACTAATAGGAGACAAAACGGTGTTACATGCGTGTGTTTTTTTGTTCAATAAAGCAAACAGTATTTGACAAAAAGTTCCTCTGATTTCGAGTACTCACAATCAAATAACTACTGTCACATTAAGTTTATTTATATTTTTCCCCAAACGACATGCAGCTCCAATATAAACATGGGTGCTTGACTGTTGTTGACCGTAATTAAGCAAGCATCATCCAATTGCTCACACCTGTTGCAACCGTTTAACACTAACTTAACACCCAGAATGATTGTTCGGATAATGTTGACCATGTTCTTGAAAATGTCCATGGTTTACCTTGTCAGTTATTTTTGTCTTGTTTTCAATCGAGATTGCTCCGGTTCCCAACCCTTGTTCACTGCATGTTTGCCGAGTTTGTACCGTGGATACTCAGTTATCAATTTCGGTGGCGTACCATCAACGGGGTGCCATTTAAGTTCTCATTACAGGTGACATGTACTTCGGGGATAAACACCCTATTCAGTCAAGTAATGCGATTGTAACACCGAATTGCCCTGTATTCGGAGCCGAGGCGATACACCCTCCGATAATATTTGCATTATGATAAAAGCCAGGCCCGACGTACAGTGACTGACAGCTAGTACTAAACTGGCATACGCTTGCTGCTGTTCAGGGGGTACGTCTTGTACCCTGTGTTCCTGCTGTGTGGTGTGATTGTGCGTTCCGTATTGGGTTGTGTTATAAAATGTGTATCTGCACCCGAGTCTCATGAGGTGTTTTCAAACTTGGTATTCGTTGAAGAGGCGGCTTCGTCCCTTGCTTCCATTCGTAGATACTGAACACCAAAATTAAATAGAAAGACCCTTTACTGTTTCAAACTTCAGGATGTTCAAAGAAACCCACGCTTAACACAAATTTGGCAAATGAGGGGCCTAAAATAACAGAGCAAGCTTTCGAAGCTGAAACTGGAGACGGACCGAGATTTTGGAAAAGGACTTTGTGCAGTTATTTTATTGGTCATGTCCCCTGACTAATCCACGCAATTCTCCCAACAATTGCACGTATACTCTTCTGGTAGCAGAGTGTAAACGGTCACTAAGTCTATATATGTATACGATTCAGTTTTGATTTAACCAGCATGGTTCTTATTACCTGTTTTTAATTATATGCACACTTGACGACACGAGTCAACATGCAAGAACAATCTTCTTTATAGAAAAAACTGACATTGTTTGGAAAAAGTAATGTGTTCTCCAGTTTTCTAACCGTTGGTTCGTGGCATTGCAGTTCTCCAGTTCAAGATCAACTTCCTCAAACTAAAATTTTCAAAAAATGCCATTTTAACTATAACATTATGTCTCTCTTCAGACAAGCACTTACTCTTTAGGCTTACAGCGGACTTCACCCTCCGCACCTCCCCACCCCAAAAAAATCTCTTTTATATACCCTTCTCGGAGCAAGGCTACAGAAGTCACTGACAATCCCCCCCCCCCCCTAGCAAAAGGGGGGTGAAATGTGACCTTTTCTTGATCTCGAACCTATATCCCCAAAACAGACCAGCGTAAAACAAAAGGCTTCTGATCGGAGACAAGTGCCTAGTACACGGGCGACACGTCCGCCTCAGTCGCAGTCCAATGAAGGCTTATCAAGCTTGATGTTCTCATCCACGATTGCACAACCGAGAAGACGACGGAAAAGGGTCCTCTCTGACAGAGAAAAAGACGGTGAGAAATAGGGGGGAGATGGCTGGCTAAAAAGCCATTCACTACCTGCCGCACTTGAGAGAGGTTTCCCCCGTGCCCCAGTGCACATCACAATGCCTAGAAGGGAAGAAGAAAAAAACTCCCCGATGCGAGATATTCACTTACGCGGCCGGGTCGAAGGCAGGTGAGCCCGCTCTGCTGAAATTAATACACATATCGTGCGGACAAGCGGAAAATAGGTGAAATGCTTACTCTCTTTTTTACCCCCTTTCTCTTTCTTCGGTCTGTACACGGCAAGCTGGCCTAGTAATCAGAGGTCCTATTGATCGTGATGAATAGCACGCAATGCCGTATGGATGGCTGGGGCTTCTCTCTCCCCCACATCACGAGTCTATAACAGATAATAATTCAGCTCCCCTCCCCCCCCCCCCCTTACTTGAACTGACTGATAGATTTTACACAATTGATATACTTGCAAATACCGAGTGTACAACTGATGTATGGTTAGGGGCTGTATACATTTCCACAGCTGACCCATAGAATACTGTATTTTCATGTCGATGGTGGAGCTACTGTTGCTCGCTGCATCCAGGGGTCGTCATGCAATGCAGTATCGATTCCTCGAATGCCGATGACCGCAATTCAATATTACTGATTTGACATAAATGTCATCAACGGTCATGTATACTGGAGAATATAGAAAAGACGAGCGCAGCTGCGAGTGAGGAATAAGGTTTCAAACTCACTTGGTCGAAAGGATCGACACCGAGGCATATAACTGCCAGATATAAGCCTGTGTTGGCTGCCGGAAAACAGCATGATTGTCCATTTCTGAACTTGTGTTAGATCGGACGCTATCACTTATCTTATAAATGCTCATACTAATTGTTTAATTTGTACTTAATTTTAAAAACCAAATTGGATTTTAATAATTAAAAAGAATGATGACCGATGACAAGGAAGTCAAATTGAGCCAATTCAACCAAACAGCAGATAATCAAAAGGCAAATCAATTTAGATCGACATATCGGTTTGTTTGTTTGTTGGTTTTTTATAGTGTTTTACTGACGATGAGTGACAGATTTATTGACTTTAGACCCAAACCAATTGAAAAACAACTTAACTGACAGTTTGTGACAATCTTTCTATTGATTATTTTTCATGCGCTAATTGAAATTCCTATCAACAGAAGAAAAGACAAATTTACAGTCAGAAGAACAAGAGGACTGACAATTGAAGCGCCTTAAAACTTTCATCTTGATCAACCCCTAACAATAACCGCGAACAAAACTTAACAGTTGACGCCAGTGACATTTTATCATCGTAATTTCATCACCTTTATTATTTTTTTCGTCTCCCACAAATGTATATACATTTCCGTCGCAACATTAACAACAGTAGATAATTACAAAAACAAAGAAAATTTGTACACAATTTCCCTGCCAAAAAGCTTTGCTTTTTTTGTTACTACGTGAAACACAAGTGAACACAGGCGTATTTTAACTCGGTTATAAAAAACGAAATACAGAGCGCTTCGAAACACTCAAATCGTATCACAGAAACACTTTATTATAAGTCTTTTTTTTCACCATTTTAACATTAAAATTAACATATGTAACTAAGTACAGGGCAGTAGTTGGGCAGTGGTGGGTTTTCTGCATGTTTATCTGCAAGACTTAAATGCTTATAACTTTTAAACGCGCGACTTTTTCCAACTGGCCAATCACAGTCATCGTACCACTGAGTTATGGTCTGTATATACGGTATACTTAATACGAAATACCTGATTGGATCTGTCTTCTCACAAAAACGTTTGCGTCTACTCGCAAAATCAATTTCGTTTGAAATCGAGCTTTTGAGAGTCACAATGAAAGCGACTTGACAACCAACATGTCAAGTAAACGTGGTGTAAACAAACGGGTTTCACATTTCAGAAATATTTTTCCCCCTTCAAAGCTCAACGGATGCATGAGTTGGTAAACAAGTCACAAAAGCTAATCCTGTGCGTTCATCACACCATTAACGCCCAACTATGACAGTCAGATTGGTATGCGGAAAAATCGATTTTCGATCAAACTTCAAAATACCAGATGGAATTTTTATCCGATCCCGATCCTTTCGGTTCCCATCGGCTGATTTCCAAAATAACCAACAAACAACGGCCTGAATTATTAAAATGATCCCGACGCCGGGTTTCGTGAGGCAAGTTTTTTTTTCCGTTCACAGAAAAAAATAGTGGACATTAACAAGATGAAGTCAACAATATTGATTTGAAGGATGGCAGTACACCACTCCATTGTCTCTAACACGTAGGTCACTCAGTATTACAAGACTACGGAATCGCCATGACAACTATGCATGCCCTAGCGACCCGTAACATTATCGGGGTTTTTTTCCAGACTATTTTTTTTAAAGTGATAGAACATAATACGGCTTATGATAGGTCACAAACATCATCACGCACAAAGAAAACTCATTGGCAACGGTGTACCCGTTTTTAACATAGTGCGAGATGAGTTCGCAAGACGCAAAAGAGATAACTAGTTTACCGCCAACATATGTTGGCGTAATATTATACACATAACATTTTACACATAACATGGGAGCCCATTTTCATGTAACGTGACACGTTAGCATATGTTTCTTCAGGTTACATTCAAAACTCATTTGTAACATTGGCAATTTGCCGTCCCTGGGTTTAACGAGGAAAACATGTTATTAAACTGTGTCTGGTTTTAACAATTAGGTCAAATAATTCCACCAATTTGTGATGAGAGATCATGAAATGGCCAAGAAAACCTTTCAAAATGGCGTCCCTAATTTAGATCCTTCACAACGAATGCAACAAGGGGAAACCCGTCACAGATCAAAATGTACAGCGTCCGTGCATAGGGCCTACTTTTGTTAACTTGACTCGGACAAATTGAATACTGGGATTAACAGATAAATTCGTTTGAATTCGCAATACAATTCCAGCAACATAAAGTGCGAGTTTTTCTTTTTAAGACAAAATGAACAAAACGTTTGACAATGACCAAGACCGTTTAAGAGTTTCACAGTCTCTGTTTGCAAATGACCTCTTGGGATCTGGCAGTGCGTCATCGGCATCCAAGGGTAACAAATGTTGAAATGATGACCGTTCTAAATTGGATTACTCTATTTTATTTGAATCCAAAATGCAGTCTCACACACTTTGACAAAATTTGAAACAAAATGGATTCGGTTCAGGAGCCGTTTATATACAAAGATAAGCCTGTATAATGACCAGTGTATATGCTTTGTCTCGAGTATTGGCGAAGTTAAGTACTAAACGAATACAACAGAACCTTTTAATAACATTTGTAAACACTAGACTCCAAACACTATTTTTTTTCTAATTCGAATGGGATTGGACTGCAGATATTTCTACAGTGAAAACTTGCATTTGAATTGCTCGCAAGCGTATAATAAAAACTAACAGGTCGGAAAATAAGATAAGACTACACAATATTGTGCTGACCCAACAAGTAGCCTATGAGTATGGTAGGGACTAAAATTTTGGAGGTCAACCGCTATGGGCATTCAAGCAAGTTGTATTTGGCAACAGAATTACAAAGTTTATGCTGCGTTTTTCTTGTTTAGCTCACCCTTCTTAACTCACACTGAAAAAATGCACCATCATGTCATATGGCAGTTGTCACATTTTGTTTCTTGTCAATAGAAAATGATGCAGTATATACATATATTACCAATATAACCTCCACTATGGATCTCAATTTATAAAAAAAAACGAAACAAAACAAAAACAAATGCGACATTTTACTTACACCTGCTTATGAAAACAATATACTCTCAATGACATTTTTTTTCTCATTAAATAAATAACTATAGGGTGAGGATTATCTTCCAACTACTACCACATTTTCCTTCAGGTGCCACGGAGAAGAAAGGAGTCCGATGTGTAATATAAATAAAACAGTTTAACACCGTTAGCAGAATCCATGTTCTGTTGGTGGCTGAGTGTGCGATGGATAGAATTCGGGTCTGAAATCTCGTTTGTTTTGAAGACTACGGCAAAAATTTTGTCACCGCGAACCGGTGAAGTGGGCCGATAACCAGACCGCAGAATCCGCCGGTTTTCCTCGCGTTCTACAGCACAAATCTGCTCGGTCTCGGTCCTCCAATCAGGCACGGCAATCAGACATCCCAGAATTATCCATCCGGTGCCGATTTTAGTTGGTAATCTGCCGAGAACAGCAAACGCTGATGTCGAGCAAGTCCGCAGTTCACGCGCTGTCAGCTACGTGAATACTCCTCAAGACGAAACAGTACAGCGTCAAGACACGGAACACCACACAGCCAGCCAGCCGTAGAAAAAGTCATCGGTTGGTTGACCCCGTTCGACATGACGTCAGCCGCACCAACCAATCACTACAGGGTACCAGGAGGTCACCGAGTCTGCGCAGACCGATGTCACTGCCAGAGTGAGCGATCTGTGGAATTAACATAAAAATTACTTTTAAGTGAAAGCATCTTATAATTTCTAATGCATAGGGCCTACAGTGTGGAACAAAAGAAGACTAGGTTTAATCAGCCCACCATGGAACGTTATTTTAGCGATTTATCTCACCAAGTTATTTTTAGGATTGAACCACCTGCAACAGACCATATCTATAGCCTTGCGGTGAAACATCAAATTACATGACATCACCGCATCATGTACAAGCATTAATTTCAAATCCAAACACGCGCGTCAAAACTTTCTTTAGGCTGCCTTGTTCGGGCTTTGACATGTAGACGCTGTCTACGCCCACACTAACCGGCAATGCCCACGTCAGACGATATCCCCAGCATTGTCCGATTAAGCGAAATGGGAGTTGTAAGTGGAAACAATTTGGATGCGATGATCAACTTATTTCCCATGATACAATGAATGCAAAAAATAGTCATAATGATGATGATATAGAGGGGCCTGAAGGGGCAAACGGAAGCGAAAGACTATATGATCGCTGCTCACACTGCGTCTAGAAATAACACAAGAGGCAAGAGTCGTAGGCGTGGATTGTGTGAGGAAAAACGGATCGAGTCTCGCAGTAGACCTAGACCAATGACCGCTAATAAGATTCTACAAGTCCGTGAGGGGGCGGCTTGCTCTCGGAGGAAAAATTACTGCCCCTGTTCAAAGCGTCTATGTATATAAACAAGGCCTAATCATCAAGGGTTTTTCTGTCTTAACTCAAGGTTGATGAATAATTGTTTATAAAGTATGCAGGTGTATGGGAATAAGCGTAACTTTCAATCGATACGACAGTATTCTAGCAGCAATGTAAACAATTAAATACAAAGAGTTAAAATGGATCATTCGTCCTAATGTACAAATCATAATCTTCAACGTTGGAGTTTGAAGGACAAAACCGCACATAATCTGTTAAGTAAATTCAAAGAACTTTTTTTTGTCATTCAGTTTAACTTCCTTCGCGAGTGGGAAAATTCGATAAATTCGTCAACTTATTTTTCCGTTATGTCCTACCGGCGGGAAATAGCCTTTCTCTACTGGGCGAGACTGCTGCATTGTGCCCGGTGCGAGAGAGGTGCTTCGGCGCTACCGGGCCAGGTGTGTCCCGGAGTACGGGGGGTGAGATGGTTTGGGGAGGGTGGCACAATCATCCTTACCTCTTATCGCCTCGGCACTGGCTTGAAAGCCGTCCTCATTATCGGTTCGTCGGCTTCTCTACTATCGCTGCTGTCTCGTCTAGAGTCGACGACTACTGAGAACGGGAATAAACAGAAGAAAGAAGAGATTTTAGGGTATTAGATGCCAAATTGCTAGGCCATCGTTAATACTTGTCAGAGGACCCCGGAGGACAAAAAGACAGACAAGTTTTTAGTGCAATTCTACCATATTTAAACTGGTTGTTAATTTGAGGAAATTTTACGATTTGGGAGGAAGAATACAACAAGGCAGACAGCTGATACGTATACCAAAGATGGGAAAGAAATTAAGGAACAATTGCCCAATTTGTGTTCAGGTTTGCTAAGAGTGTCGTGATTTTATCAGTTTGAAGTGATTTCTTATTCTGTAAAACTACCCCGTGAAAAAAAAAAACCATGGTGCTAGAGTATCACTACGCGCTACCGTTTGGTTGAGCCTTGAACCACATGTCAGCTTTATGTTACAGAAAGAATGCCAACCTATGTGAAAGGTCAAATAGCTCTTGCAGTGCAACTTCACGTTTATTGATGACAGAATTTAACTCAGATTAAATAACGTTTAATCGAAAATACTCTTCATCCAAATGTAATGGTTGTAGAGGACACTCTTGCACTTATAATCAACTTGGTACAACTTTGACTTTTGTAATGGTTTTCTTTTTAAAAGTGAAGGACTGAGGTACAATTTCCCCGTAAAAAGATCATTCATTGCATATGTTTCGTGTAAATTTGAATAATAAAATTATCAAAAAAATATTTCAAACATTTAAATACTTCAACCTATACTTGTCAATTTATCATTTCAATATTTTTTCCCCCAAAACATGAGTGGAAATTACTTATGCATGCCAATATGCATGCAACGAGGGCATGGTTTTGGTACCTAGCATGTTTTATCAACACGCAAAGTTATCACGGAGAAATTTCAGCACGATACGCGGTCAAACTCCCGTAACACTCAAGACACAACCAACAATCTAACCAGTGTTACCATCACACGATTATTCCTCTGATAAAGTTCGATTATTGTATAGTTGTTTACATTTTATTTATCTACATTTTAGCCGAAAGAGAATCGAAATTAATACGGCGGCACTCAATCGTTTTCATCAACGTGTATTGCATGACATCTGTATTGCTGCCGTATCAACTGCATGTTTGTTAATGGGGCAATTACAGATCGCTCTTGTAGTGACATTGACGAATAAATTGACCGACTAAATGACTGAAATATTGCAAGCAGACCAAAATGCGTTTAGGGTCAGGATAAATACTCTTGGCTTGACACGCAAGATGAACGCATCAAACTAAAAAAGTTAATAAGTAAATTTGTATAGTCTTAAACTTGTGTTCGACCTGATAAAACATCAATTATTGTTAAACTTAAATACAGCAATTATGAAGACATCCACCCAAACCGCGTGTCGTGAGGGGAAAAGTACAGACTACACTGGCCAATTACCGGATTGTTTTGATAGCGTTGTTTTCTTTTGTGCTCATGGAAGTGTGGCGTGACTGTATATACTCCGCCCCCGGCAAATTGGAGAGAACATAAAATGATACCCGTCCAGCCAAACAATTGAAAACACTATGTATGTTATGACAGGTTGCAAATACATTTCCTCATGTTTGATTCCGTGCGTGTGTAACTGTGTAAACACGTGTCCAGTTTAGATCATAAAGGTAAAGACCAGTGGGTTTGGGGGGGGGGGGGTTAGGGGGGGGGCGCCGGTTTTGCGAAACTTGCCATTTTTGAAATATATCTGTCGTCGGGAATGACTTATTACAGCGGGTTTCGTGTTATATCTCATCACAACTCGGGCAAATCATCGGCCGAGGCTCGAGCAGAACAACCCAGCGGAACGCCACGGCACAGCGCGGCTAGCCGTCGGCGACAATTTTCGAGAAAACGCCTGTACTTAATCGGAGCATTAACGGGCCCAAGTGCCACGATGAAAGGCTGTGTGGGGACCCCAGGGCCCGTTGCTGGGTCCAACCGGCTCTTCTAAAGGTCACATAGGATTCAAAGATTAGAAATATTGGGGTGTTTATTTTTGTTTCATACGCATGCGATAATCTGGATGGCATGGTTTACTTAATTTTTTACTTATGTCATTCATTCAGTCCCTTATGACTCACTGAATGAATATAAATGGAGTATCTGAGACCCGTGTTGAAAAAAGTGTCGAAGGGCGAATCTGTCTGCAAGTTGAGTTGATTAAAATAAACATAATTGACCATTTTGATCTCTGTTATGATCTAAGAATTAGTTAACAAAATTATGTGAAGTGTGATGTGTAAAAACTTAAACCGGAGCAGGGGGAATGGTGATATAGTACCAATTAAATGGCGCCCTTTTATGGTATTTCTAAAATAAAACCGGACAACTTTTGTATGTTTATTTACTGTTATACTTCCGTCCCTAGTTCAAATTTACTTAACCTTTTAAAAGAACAGCCCAAGCTCTCCATTTTGCCGAGATTGATGACTTTTTGTTGGGAGTACTTGGATGACTTTTTGTTGATTGTTGGGAGTACTTCAACTGCACGGGAGTGCGATTTTGAGGCTCTGCATAGTGGGGACTAACTTCTAGGGATTGCTCTGAGAAGATCCAGACGTCTTTAACTACAAATTTAGTCTTTTCTCACGGTGTGCATGTGTAAAACCTCTGCCTCATCACTGCATGATGTTTGGTTTGTGATTTTTTTCTTTCTTCTTTTTGAAAGGTGGGTGAGTATTCTTACCTTCTTTATGGGGAGACGTAGTGATGGTAACTCCATTATGCATGGCTGATACATCGTGGACTAATAGTGGGTGCCTACTCCCGATCCCCGAGGCCGTGGAGAATAGAGGTCCTTGTGAGCTGCTGACGACACAGGTGGGTGCTCGGGCGCCTTGGAGACTGGAAGCTGCTGCCGAGAGCTGATGCATGTTGGGCAACCCCGTAGACATCCTAGGTATGGGCAAACCCCCGTGAAACTGTCCGTCCACCCACTGCCGTAGCGTGCTCATGGGCGAGTCGTACGGGTAGTGAAAGTTCTGGGCTAGGTTGGTCGGCATGGCTGCCTGCACGCCGTTGTGGACGGGCGAGCGCACGGGCGATCGCGACCGGCGCTCCCGCTCGGGGCTGCTGGAGGTGGCCGTGTGCGCCAGCGACCAGATCTTGGGTTTCTCGGCCTGCCGGGGCGGCGAGGCCGGCAGCGGTTTCTCGCACGGTGGGGATCTGGAGGTAGGTCGGCAGGTTGCTCGGATCATTGAGGGCGCCAGAGGGGCGGGGCTGGGACTCCTCCGGTGGCAGAGGGGGCTACCACAAAGTTCCCTGGACCGATGAGGATGATGGTTATGATGATGGCTGTTTTTCTTCATCGTCCACCGTGATACTCACAGAGTCTCTGTCCGGGTTGGTACCCACAAACCCAGCCGGTACCCTCGGCTCAATACGCGGTAAACCTACATGGCTACTACTGCTACAATCGCACACTATTATTTCCCTATCGTCATCATTCTCATCCTCCTTCTCGTTGTTATTTTCCTCCCTCGTTCCCTCACGATCTGACACTAAGAAGCAAAGAAAAAAAAAGGAAAGAATCGAGTGAACAATAATGAAAAACATAATCCACAAAAGGCAGACATAAAGAACATTGTATCAAGCTTAATGCGAATATAGAAATAGACGAAAATGAAACGCCACTATTCGAAAATTGAAAGTAATCTGATCAAAGCAAATATCCATTCATAATTGTTAAAGACATTCACTGCATGGCCAGTGGGCGGGAATTATTCACAATTAATTTCAGCCACTATATCATATGGCTGTCGGCAGCTCGAGCCGGTGCATTGGCAGCTCTACAGCGCCAACTCGCCGTATTTGATTTCAGTCGCCCCTTTCCACCCCCCGATCCGTCATTGATATTTCCTCCGTCGCCAGGGCCGTTTGTTTGCTGTGCTTTCAAGTGTCTGCGGCCAGCCCCAGCCCCGGCCGTAGTGATTTCATGATGATGATGGCATCATCACCATCATCATTATTATCATCATCGCCGTTATGAGAGAGAGAGAGAGAGTGATAGAGCTAAATAGCGCGGGGCGGTAGAAGCACGTACGCCGCCAGCCACGGCCGGAGCCCAGCCGAGCGGAAGCAAGCCTTCCGCCCGTCGCCCGGATCAGACCCCTACTCAAGTGCGGCTTATTTGACACGCTCTCAGGCTAACGAAAAATTAATTTTCGCAAATTCTGCCAATTGAGCCTCTCCTTTTTCTTTTCTTCTTTCACGATGGCTCCTCGTGAAATTGCTCATCAATTTAGGCACTCGTATAGAGCGGCGTGCGCGACTACAGTGTGTGTGTGCCATCTGATAATCAACTAAACGTAAAGGGTATATAGGATCTAACCGCTGCACGCATTCTGGGTGCAAAAAGATAATTAGGCCCTACTGACAGTTAAGAGTTTCCAAAAGAAAACGGGCATTATCATTGAAGTCTCGTGTCGTTGACTGTTCAAACAGGGGTGACTCCGATTGCACAAAAAGGAGAGAACTGTCAATATAATTGATAAGGTTTAATGTGGTCTGCTTTGAGTGCAAGGGCTATATCGAGGCGAGGGGGATTCTTTATTAGTTGTCTCACAAGTTTCGTGCAACAGGCCTTCTAGCGGTGCTTGTCCAACACGAACGAGGAAAGACATGTCAGCAAACATAAGAGCATTTTTTTGGATTCCCTTCTTTTCTTTTTTGTTATGAGACAAGCTCAATGAAGCACTGATGCGCTTTTTGGTGCAATTACTAAGCAAGCATGACAAAGAACAAACTGTACGAGAGGCCAGGCTGGAAATTATCAAATCGAGCGGGTCAGGGAGAGAGGACTGAACCGATTAAACGGAGCTAATTCCCGCCCAGCGTGAGCAAAACTCCTCGGTCGAATTTTTTTCTGACCGAAAGTCCGCGGCATAATGAATCTCAAACAACCTCGCGTGCTCCTAGATTTTGCTATGCCCGGCCGCTGAAATTAATTTTTACGTGACTAATTGGCGTCATGATTTGAAGAGCTTTTTATCGGAAAGCCCTCTAGGTATAGCAAGCTAAGAGGTCTGCAGTAGGCGCGCAGTGTTCATGAAAGTAGCGTTTGACGGTATAGTGCTTACGTTATTTCAGAGAAATCACTTGTGATGCTTACTTTGTTCTATTCTAAATAATTCTTTATATTAGTTTACATAATTCTTAATGATTTTTTTTACATGTGCAGTAAATATACCAACTAGCTAAAGTGATAGTCAATACTGAATGCAAAGTACTTTTTTATTAATTCACGAACGAGGTTTATAAAGCTTCCAAGGAAACCTTTCACACGACGGTGATCACTGCTGAAGGGATTATCTTCTCATTTTTTTAAATAAAGCATATCAGTTCATAGGTTATGTTTAGGAGCTACTACTGACGTACATGTACATGTCGGTGTTCAACAATGCTATTCCACATGACATGAGTAGGTAGTGCTAATATCTTTTGTGGTTTGGGGGTTGATTTTGAACAATCGAAGTTAAATTTATGAACCGTTACATGTACTAGTCTTTCGTGGAACTAGTACTCACACTATATTCAAACTTCCGGCTGTTATCGGCTATATCACTCAAATACATACAGCTTGACAGAAATGACTGGAAAATAGTCCAACTTGCAGTGGGCATTCTTTCAGTGATTAAGTCCCCGGAATATGAATAAAAGTGGCATCATGAGCCATTACGGATCAACTTACACTGTCCATTGTGGTTGCTTTCCAGGTCAGTGCCTAGTCCATCCATGTCGTCGTCTCGCTCGTGGTCCTCGCCGTCTTCGGACTCGTAGTCTTCCTTCCGGCCGTCGCCGCAGCGGTTGCGGGGCGACCAGGTCATCTTGTTCTCCTTCTTGAGGCGTCGCCGGGCGTTGGCGAACCAGGTGGATACCTGGGTCAGTGTCATCTTGGTGATGATGGCCAGCATGATCTTCTCGCCTTTGGTTGGGTACGGGTTCTTGCGGTGCTCGTACAGCCAGGCTTTCAGCGTGCTGGTCGTCTCGCGGGTGGCGTTCTTGCGCCTGGCGCCGTTCAAATCCATCGCGCCGTATCTGGTAAGTTCACGAGAGAAAAAAAATTAACCAACAAAAAAAAATATTGTAGGCCCTAACACAAAGATAGGGAAGCTGAAAACATCCTGACATAGCCCCAACCCAGTTTTACATCAATACTTCAATCGCAACATTCTTTCCTTTCTATCCAAGGTCAAAATATATCGTCCAACAACTTTACATTACAAACTTGTTACAACCACGACAACTTGACTTTTCTTTGTCAATTCGTTTTTGACATTTTTTTTTTAACCGAAGAGCACAATGCATCCTTTGGAAGTAACCGGCAGTCTCTCTCCAAAAAAGTGAATTAGCTGTCTTTATACAAAACCACAGTCTGTATCACGAAACCACAACAAAGTAAGTAACCACGGCCCGTAAATTTCAAGTTCTATGGGAACTCCATTTCAAAATTATAAGTGTACATACATACATGTGAAGCATGACAAGATACAAGCCCGCGTATTTGACACCATATTTGTAGTTTCTGTTTCGGTGTTTTAATCTAGTTCTGCGCGGACAAATGTAATTGAACAACATATAATGGAGAAAAAATCAAGCTGACTTGAATTTATCACCCAAAAAAAAACTATACCGTTCAAGGTCTTATATTCATAACAGAAGGGATTACACAAAATAAAAATTCCTAACCACAAAGGCGAAATCATTGTCAGCGCGGCCAATGTAAAATTGCCTCCACAATAACTGGGCCGGCACAAGCGACAAACTTTTGTATACACACACACATACAGACAAAGTCACCCAACTCGACCGTGAAGACCCAGCGTTTAGCAAAATATTTTTGACTTATTACATGCCCGTTTTAGAGAAAAATAGCGGATGAATTGGTCGGGATTTTTGTCTGTGTCGAGATCAAAGGCAAATGCCGACAGTGACATTTGAATTGACTGAAGAAAAAAAAGACACAGGAAAAAAGGTCTCGCGGCGGAACAACTGTGACACGGATAATAAGATATGATGGTAGTCTAGTCGTACATTGTTGAAGATAAATGACATACGATTTCACTGAAAGGGATACATATTGAACTCCTTTGCAACAATGCGAAACAATCTCTTCTTTAACACTCTGGAACAGACGACATTGAAATTTTCCCAGTACGACTCTTTGAAGCACCCTGTTAACCCGCCTACATATACGCCCCACGTATATTTTCAAGCAGCGCATGATATGGATGTTTTTTGTTCATGACAACACAGAAAAAAAGTCCGTGTCGTGTTTCACTGCACTGCTTAATTTAGGAGCGCTTGTTGCTCGCCCCGTACAGCGCTGTTTACGGGAAACCAACCATGAACAAGTGTCACCATAAGTTTACCAGCACCAGAGATACTTTGTTTCAATGTCAATCAAGATATTATCCTCGAAAATCGGGAATTTCTGTTTCTATAGTAAGTGAAATTGCCGCTGTCGGATTATTTCATAGGAAAACTTTTGTACGACTTGCTGTATGCTAGAAACTGGCAGCATTTTTTTGTATCTGTTCGCGCTTGGCTCATTCGCGCAATAGCTTGGGGCAAAATGAGAGCGGGGGATGGGACAGGTGGAAGTCAGTTCGCTTCAGACGAAATCTTTTTATTGTTGGGTTTTTGTGGGGTAAGTTGGTAGAAAATTCACTGTTCTTGGTTCACATGTCAAAGGATAATTATGATAATTGTTCAACTTGCAACTGAAGTAAAACAGTTGATTCAAAATATAATTACTATATCAGAATATAATCATGATAATATATCAGAATATTAATTATTGTCTGATGTTATGGGAAAGAAACACTTAGCATGGCCAATTTCATTGCAAAAAGAAAGCCAAATTTGTTGGGAATTATCATGACTATAAGGTTAGGGTGATCATTTTTTTAAAAAAAATCAGGTTTTTTTTTCAGCTCCGCGAAATTTGTCAACTGTTCAGGGCGACTGTTTGCACGGCTCCATATGTCCATTCTCTAAGTTCCAAAGTGCGCGGCAATAGTCTAATTAATACAACTCAATTAGTGATACAATTAATCAATAGCCGGTTACTTAATTGAGAATTGCAAAACCAAAACTTACCGGTCGCCGTAGTACTGATATGTGGTAGGGTCGTACGGGTAGCAGGCGGTGGGCTGGGCTAAAGCACTCCATCCCTCCGGATTCGTCTTCAAATCGTACGCTGAATTCTGTCCAAACAAAACAATTATATAGAATTGGAAGTAAATGGCAACATTTTATGAGGCGTACTGTACACTTTTTCCCCTTTATAACATGTATAATCTGAAAATAAAGCTAAACCCTGGCACAATTCTACAGGGGACTTGGGACAATATCGCCAAAATTTGGCCTACTTTAGCAACCAATATTCCTCCAGAATTCATCACAAAGTAGAGAGACATTAGCTTAACTTTTGAAGAAAAAAATTATATTTTCATTTTTCATTATCATCAGCAAGCCCCCCCCCCCCCCTTCATTCCCGCCCCGAAAAAAAGAATCTGTCTAAAACCGTGGCTATCATAACCGCAGGGCTCAGGCTACAGTTGGCAAATAAATCAAGCCCCGCCATACGGAATGTGGGGGTTCTTTCAGGTAATGTTTATACAAACACTGCTTATTACAGACACCAAAAATTATGTTTGTTGTCCAAACCGTCAAGTGATTTTGAGTGGCCGTCTGTGTCCTTTACAACTGCAAACAATGTTATGGTGACAAATTCTGGATTATTTTTAGGCTTTGAATTGAAGTAAAGGGGAAAGTATTTGTTCAGAAATTGTTTTTTTTTATTGAGAAGCATATTCACCGACTCTTCAATGTCTACATTAACTTCAATAATGAACAAACTTTCGCAAGAATTATAGAAATGCAAACCTGGCCTATATGAGAATTTTCCAGCAATAATATCAATACTGCCAATTAATGAGGTTTTTTTAAACACTGATAGCAGGTACGATGTGTTCTTTTTAAGCCAAGATGAACATTTTAATCCCTTCAAAATGAAAGAATGGAGAATAAATATACCTTACTTCTGGACTTAGGCCTACATGTTAATCAGAAATTGTGTTCCTAACACTATGATAACTGCTCTGATTTGACCAAAAAAAGAGTCATCTCAAGGAAGAAAATTTACTTACGAGAGGTGAGTAGAACGCAGAAGGATCCGCGGCGAAATGAACGAAGCCCGGGTCAGTAGCGTACGGGGATGTGTAGAGCGCAGGCAGCCCAGCCACCCGCGAGTGGAGCAGCGCGGTGGCACGGTTGTCTAGCGGGGAGCAACACACCGCTTGCCCCGTGTGAGGATCGGTGACGACCGGTCGACCGCTCTCACAGCACGATGAAGCCGGGGTAGCAGCCGACATCAGTAACTGTTGGAATTCCAAGCATAAAAAAGGTTCATTATTCATTCATTAAGTGTGCATTTATTGTCATGACACTTTATTACACAATTTTGAATGTATAATTTAAGTTCCTTGAGTTCCGTGAGACTTTATTGAACGCAATAGTGTAGTTGCCCCAAAATTTCAAAGTAAGAGCAACAACTTCGGTTATTGTAAAATATAAACAAAAGCAGAACACTTCACTCAAATGTGCAATTAAAGACATTTAATTGTCAGTATGCTTACAGTAGTCACAAAGTAGAATGAAGTTATGCAACTGATTAATTACACCCGAAGCTCAGTTAACCAACACGGCCCATTAATTAAAGCTAATTAAATCATGATTTTGTTTTCGATTGAAATTACCTGTGACGAGGCCGGATACGGGTAGCCGAACTGCGCAAAGGTTGACATGCTTGTTTTCTCCAGCTTGAAAGAAGGTCGTGCCTCGAACCGGCAGAGGTTGGGTTAGAAGAAGTGCGTTTTCCTGCGTAATAAAATCCTGGTCCGGTATAATCCCATGCGTTTGATCTGCCCAGAAGTTGACCCCAAAAGAATGAGTTTCAGAGAACTCGATAAAATAACCAAAAGAAAAGTTTCGAAGTTGAAGAGATGTTGGGATGGACCACTGGCTATAGGTTCCGTGTAGTGAGCTAGCTGACTGGAGTGAGTTGCCCCCAAGTTTGTTACATCCCAGCTGATACGCCTTGGTTAACGTGTGTTGAGAGTGAGGTTGTCGGGGGAAGTTGCTTCCAAGCGGCGCGTGTCCTTACAAGTAAACTCTCTTTTTTCGACCGTGTCAGAGTTGTGATGGGCTTGTGGGTAACTACTAGGGCACCCCCTGATATCGGCTACCGTACCGCTTTATGGGGGCCCGAGGTCGTGTACATGAACATGTACATACAGGAGTACACTGTGTCAGTATCTAGTCACCTAGAGAGAGAAGCAGTTAGGGCCAGAACAAGCATGCGTGCACACGCCGTGACAGCCGACTGGCGCGATTGGGCCAATCACGCGCGCCGATCGGCCGGGCACGGCACGGCTGGCTTGATTGGCACAGCCCAGTCAGTAGTAGCGCACTAACCAACGGGGTAACCACACAATAGAGTGCCGCCCAGCTGGGCGTTGCGTAGATCTCCCCCCACGACTGAGTGCCCTCCCCCCACTGGAAAACACAGTCTGATTAGCACCCCGCGACATCGTTAACATATTCATCGTTTTCTTAGGAATTACTGGGCACGTGTAACATGTGGAAGGCATGTTAGTGGCATGTCAGTACAAGGGGAGAGAGATTTGCCCGCTCTGTTAACTCGTCCATATTATCAGCTCTTGCATTTGCCTCTGCGCTAGACAAGCTAGAAAGGCAGAGCCGTTTGCTGCCAAGAGCCGTTATAGTAGCAGCCCGCCACCAAGCGTCAGTATCAGGAAACGCAAACCACACGCAGCGGTATGATGGATTGAACGCTGGCTCAGTGCAGGCGTTGAGTCCAACCCAACTACGCATACACTCAACCTTGATATCCTTTTAGTGGTTAGTGCACGGTGGTCATGCAGGGGGGGGGGGGCTATCTCCCAATTTTGCGGCCGTGTCAGTGGCCCCAGCTCCCAGGCAAACCGTTCCATTGACCGGTCCATTCAAGAAAGGAAGAATAAAACTTTTATTCTCCCTCATGTTTCACAGATTATCTTAGTTCAATTGAATGGAAGAAAAATGACACTTTTTTTGTTTGAGCACCGTCAATGATACACAACCATGTCTTGGGGGCTGAACACGGGGCGGTCAAAAAGCGTTTACTTTCGGTCAGACACCTTACAACGGACAAAGGGAGAGAAATTACCGCGATATGTCGGCCTGGCACGGTACTTGACACTTCGGTTACTCACTTTGTTCAAATACGACCGTGCTTTGAAGCTGAATCTAATAGTTGGAATATAAAAGACTTTCAACAAAATAAAAAATTCTTAACATATTTTTGATATTTCAATTAACTAGGGGTGACTTATGCGTGACAGTAAATCAACAATGCGTCCATTTAATCACCATTTACATGCCATTTAACAAAACAAAATTGGTTATTTTTTCTGAAGGAGAATTATTCTTTGCCAGGTCATTCTACACACGGCTTACGCGGCGGTCCTTTTGAACCATCACACCAATATTGAATTTATTGATAAGGCTTTCATCTCAAGCCGCTCGTAAACACCTTGGACATGTAGAGTGAGGAAAATATAATCAAAAGATAGTAAAATAATGAGCTACGCATAACAACTTATTCCCGTTCTATTTCAAAATATGTGGCCTATAACTTGACCCTGCTTGCCATTCTCCACCCAGGAGTATAAATGGGTACCGGCATTAGCCGGGGCGTTATCTGCGATGGACTGGCATCCCATCAGTTAGTACATGTCAGGGAAACCGGAGATAAACGCTGGCCCGATGAGCCGTATTGAACTTGCAACCTATACCACCGCACTATCAAACCTATGGTCATTTCTTTACTATAACTGTGGCCTTTGCTCACGGAAGGTGAGAGATGAGAATCCCACAATCTAGCAGACGCTCTTAATTCTGATTCCACCCCCTCCCAAATAGCCACTGACTAGGCCTATAATTTGTCACAACCCATTACCTCTTTAATCATGCTACAACTGCTACTATTTTTGGGACAGTGACAGTGTCTCTCTAATATTCTACTGTCTCTGCCAAAAAGTGGGCTATTATGTGCTCGATGTTTTTGCCCAACGTTAGTCAAAGTTGTCTTCACTGGTCTCAATTCTTTCTTCCCAAAGTAATAGTGTACAATTACCCAAATCAATACTGATATGGGTAGAATGGCATTGCCCCCTTGTCTCCTCAGCCTTTTGTTTTAAGTTGGTCCCAAAGGGGCCAGTCTACAGTCTACTCTGTATCTGACTTGGCTGGTGGGGAGAGTTGGGCAGTGCTATTGTATAGGATTACCCCGTAATGAGCTGAATCTGGCCCATTGTGTGTAGACAAGATTCATGAAAAAACTTCCAGTCTGAATCAATTGACTAGAATTGTGTGTTCTCTGGGCCCAGCTCTACTGGGCTAGCCTTGCCTTGTCTGGCATATGCTTTCCCATGCGTGGGAATTTAAAGCAGGTATCACATATGTTTTTTTTTCACTGGGAAAATACACTCATCGGCTGCCAACTTGACTATCGGTGCACGGACTCGGAGTCCGTGTGTCAATGCGGGAGCGGGTCCACCGTGTCTTCTTATCGCGGTCGCCCAGTCCTCTTTCCCCCAGCGCCCCGCGCGTCGCAAGCCAACACGGCGCCCACATCACTCAGCCGGAGTTTAGTCAGCGTGGTGTAACAGAAAGGGAGAGGTCTCGAAGGTGGCAGTGAAAGTAGAGAGTGGTGCAGGGGGGGGGACCCATGGGGAGGGGGACCCATGGGGGTGTGGGAGCTTCAGTTGAGGACAAACCCAACACGCACGACTAGATTTCTTCAAGTTGATGCTGCCTTTGTAACAACCGTCCAATTATTTCATGGTATGAGCACATTGACCCTTCTCAATTGGAAACACACCTTCTTCCTGTGCTTTTGATTAATATGTGTAGAAAAAGGTTATCCCCAAGTTGGATATGTAGAAACTTGAGTTGTTATAACCATAAAGGCGTGTTTTCTTCTGTAAATTTTTCTTTGTGCAGGATACAAAAAATAATTAAATCAATCAACAAATTGAAAATTTGGAATCAAGCAGTATTCTACTCAGCTTGAAATTACCGTAACTCATCGACATTTATTATTGGATAAACGAGGAAAATGTTTTGGGAAAGTCGTTGGCTCCAAGCCGCCCATCAAACCTTGGCCAGGGCCGGCTGCTAGCCGAGGCGATTGCCCGCTCGCCCTTGGCACTCTGGGATCTAAAATAAAAAAACATACTCTTGAGAAAAATGAACTTTAATCAGCACTCAGTGCCGACCGCTTGACAGTTTCATAGCAGTCGGAATCTCGTTAATCTGCCGGGTGAAGTGGGTCCGGGCGCGCACGTATACAACGGGTTAATGGTTGACGCTAGCTTGCTTGAACCGGGAGTTGCATGCCCGTGTTTAGCTTCGGTTGTCGATGAGGACCGGACAGATCGTAATCACCATCATCATTATCGTCATTAGACCATTTGGACTAATTTCCTTCGCCAAGTCCGGAGCTGTCTTGTCTGGCTTGTTGTTGTTATTGTTGTACTGCAAATTATTGATTCCCAGTAATTAGGCGAGTTTTTCTCTTACCTTGACACCTGTGTTTCATCATATGATTTCATCTATTACTCCAGTTTAAGTGCCACCCTTCCTCTGACTGAGTTTGTGATCCGTCATTGTCATCCCTGGACCCTAATTGTTCTACCCACTGCCCCTTGTCCCAAGTCGGTCTCAACATGGAAATTTTCCTTTCTCCATGGTCTCAAGTGCGTTTCCCTGATCTTTCTCCACCCCTTTCTCACCCGAAACTCTTCCCCCGTCCGACCCTCATTATTTCAACTGTAAATTATTTTCAAACATTCGCCACATTTCTGTAACAGACGTCGACGATAGGCCCTACACTTGCTTTTTCGCCTCGTCACTTTAAAGTTACGACGGCTATTCTATAGGAAACCAAGGCGGCTGTGGCTGAAGCTTACCACGCAGAGAAAGCCTTTTTTTCTTCAACTTTTAAGTCGACCATCTTGAGGCCTTATTATACTACAGCTTTCAGAGCTCGTATTTTGCATTTGTCATAATGAAATCCTCAGTTTTACACCGAAACCCCATTTTCTATTCATCGGTTAGCTTCTACACTCCTTTCCTACTGAGATGTGAATTTCGTGAATCGGCCTAGGCCCCTATATATTCACACAGAACCAATCCTAGCTTCGTTTAAGATTCGGAGCAGGGTGGATCGGGAAAAGGGGGATATGTTCAAAATTTACACAGCAACACTTCCAATGTTTGAATCTTCCAACCCTGCATTGTGATCTTGTTTCATCCTCATATTCACATCGTAACTTACAAAGAGCACTCTTTCGCCCTTGCAACAACTCGGAAGTTTAGATATCAAGACTTTTGAAATCGTACCCCCTCCCCCCTACAGAGCAAACAAACTCCTTCGCTCTTTACTTCCTGTCTCTTCAATTCACCTCAAATTCACCCCCATTTCCGTCCCAACCTCCGTCAGAAATTCCTCTTCCTCATGGAAATAACTCCGTTATCGGATATCAAGCACAGTCACTCCGTACGATCATGGGGGTAGAATTAGATCAACAGAGACCCTGGATGAATGGACTCTCCCCTCCGTCCCTCCCCACCTCCGTCCGTCCCTCCCCCACCCCCCCCCCCCCCCCACCCCTCGTTTAACTGCTGTGCAGTGGAGATTTACCTAGCACTCGAAATTTAATAAAACCACTCGTGAGAAAATGATACAACCGTCTTGATGATACAGTAGAAGGGATACTTTCTATCACAGCCCCTCCACATTTTCATTCACGGGTCTCGAGTCCGTTTATTGGCCAAAACTCAACGGGCGGTATAATTGGCCTATCAGCCAGCCCGGTGAAGTGGCTTGCGAGCCCCCGCCGCTACTTGTCTGTGCAGCCATAGTTCCGTTGTCGGGGCGTTTATGATTTGGGAGAAGATTTCGATGTCGGTGTTTGTGTTGTGATGATTTTAAGTGGTTCGTTGGCATGGTTACATACGCCATGTTACTATCACCGTTTCTGGGTATGTTTGGTTTGATATTAGTAAGATGTTGGAAGAATCAAAATCGCTTATATTTTATATTCGTTTTGATTGTCTTTTGATTTAAAAGTTGGTTCATGGTAGGGGCCCCTTTATTGATATGATCGAAATCTCAGAATGTACCTTTTGATAAAATTGTTGTTAAATGTTTGAGAACACTCGCAGAATGTTGTATGAAGAATCGTAATTTGAAAGTTGCAACTTGATAATATGGTAATAATGGAGCTATTGTAGATTCATGGGGGCACTCTGACATAATTTTG